TGTGTGGGGGGTTGCAGGGATCAGGGCAGGGGGCGGGGGGGTGATGGCTGGGGTGTGGGCGGGTGCAGGGGTCAGGGCAAGGGGCTGGGGGAGTGTGGGGGTGAGGGCTGGGGGTGTGGGCTAGGGTCCTGGAGGTGCTCCCAGCCCCCTGCCCAGAGTGGCTTCTGCACGGCCCGTCCCCACCTCTTCTCCGCCTCCTCCCCGGAGCAGAGAGCGTGCTGCGGCTCGCTTCTCCCCCTCCCTCTCTCGCAAGAGCCATCAGCTGATCGGCGGCAAGAAGGGAGACGAGGAGGGGCAGGAACCCAGCACGCCGGCGGAAGAGGTGGGGGAGGGGGAACTTGCCTGCCCTGCAGCAGCAGCCGGCAGGACCAAGCTTCTTCACCCTGCCCCCGCAGGTGGGGGGCCAGAGAGGAGCGGGCCGGGGTGGGCAGGATTTTTAATGGCACACTGCTGCCTGCCGGGGTGCTGGCCACAGACCTGCTCAGCCCACTGCCGGCCTGGGTTCGGCAGCACGATGAGTGGGACCGGCAGCTGGGACCCGGTAGGCAGCAGTGTGCCATTAAAAAACGGTTTGTGTGCTGTCTTTGGCACGTGTGCCATAGGTTGCCGACCCCTGCTCTAGTCATAGGGAGAAAAAAGATGGGGCGGGGGGTATTCAGTCCATGATTTTTTGTGACTAGCAAAGTTATGAATTTAAGTTCCCAGGTGTTGTGCAGATTTCCTTTTGAGGATGAGGACTGTGAGGTCAGATAGGCTTTGTGAAAAGTGTTGCCCCCAGGTGATTTGGTGTTTTTTGTCTTCTATCATTTTTCTGTGCGAGTGCATTCAAGAGTATATTGATTGTCTCGTTTCACCCACGTAGTTGTTATTCGAACATTTAGTGCGCGGTTGTGTACATGTTGTGGTAGGCATTTGTAGGACCCATGAAAATATCATTGATGTAACTCAGACATATAATTACATCAATGATAAATCCCTATACACCACCATCCATCAAAATGGTGGCATCGCTGTCTGCCTCAAATATCTTCAAGGCAATGGACAACACTCAGCCACCTCAAACACATCCCCAGACTCATCCATTTCATTCTTGCCCACAACAATTTTATATTCAACAACAAACCCTTTGTCCGAACCATGGGAAAAACCAAGGGAACTAGGATGGCTCCTCAATATGCCAATCTCTTCCAATCTATGGGTGACCCTTAGGAAGAATTTCTGGACAAATTCACCATGAAACCAATTATATACCTGAGGATACATCAATGATATTTTCATCCTCTGAGCAGACCTAAACTCCCACATAGGTTTCCATCACAACTTCAGCAACTACCACCCATCCATTAAACTCTCTCTAGACCACTCCCACACTAACGTCAACTTCCAGGACACCACAATCAGCTTCAGTGATGGAACCCTACAAACAACTATATACGAGAAACCCATGAGTCACCATACTTACATTCACAGATCCAGTAACCACCGCCAACATGCCAAGAAATCTGGTATCTACAGTCAGGCACTCAGGTACAACAGAATATGCTCCAAGGAGAAAGTCAGGGATATAAACCTTGACTCACTTAAAACCACCTTCACAAAATAGGGACACTCCATCAGAGGAGTGGATCACATCATGGAATGGGTCACCCAAATACCCCGAGAGAACCTGCTTCAATACAGATATAAAACCCTCTCTGACTGCATACCCCTAGTTGTCACCTACCACTCCACACTGGAACCCATATGGAGTATCATTAAACAGTTACAGTTGATGGGGACTACATCCTGAAGAAAATCTTTCCTGAACCCCCTGTTCTGGCCTTCAAACAACCCCCAACCTCTCTAAACTCATCATCAGAAGCAAGCTGCACAAAATAGGACACAGAAACTCAAAACAGCACCAGATCCTGCCAGAACAGGAGATGCATAACCTGCAGCCATATCCCCCCACTGCTATAATAATCAATACCCCCACAACACATTTTTCAAGGTCCATAGGTCCTACATATGCCTTTCACAACTTGTGGTGTACCTCATCCAGTGCACTAAATGCCCCAATAATAACTATTTGGGTGACACGAGACAATCACTGTCCTCTCAAATGAATTTACACAGAAAAATGATGAAAGACAAAACCACCAAATCACCTGTGGGTAAACACTTTTCACAAAGCAATCACTCTATATGTCAGCTGTCAGTCCTCATCCTCAAGGGAAATTCGCACAACACCTGGAAGCTTAAATTCATAACTTTTGCTGGGCACTAAAAATCATGGAACAAATAGAGATACTGGATTTATGTCTTATTACAAAAATCTATAACCCAGTAAAAGCCCCCCACACCCACACACACCACCACCTGGGGTTCTGTTCACCTAGGCCGGCAGCAGTAAAAGCCCCCCCATACACACCATTTCTAATCACTGGTTTAGGACAAAAATCAATTGTACTTTAATTTTGGATAATTTGAGTAATATCGCTTTTGTTAATATGATGCACTGGGTTCCTTTCCTAAATTACAGTGCAGGGACTGTTTTACCGTATTCTTTGAATGTGGGTGCCACCATAATCCTAACAATAATAAACCTACCACTTATAGGTGGGTCTGAATTGGCTTGTTCTCCCTTACAGGAGCCTGTCACAGGTAGGCCACATCCTATGACAAAGAGGAAGAGATAATTTCTGTGTAAAGAACTTTTCCCATGGTGCTTGATTGGAATGTCTCATTGAAGTTTTTGTTTTGTTTTGTTTATGCTTTTCCCATTTGAACACCCGTCCAAGCTCTTTCTCAGACTTCCGAGGAAAGGATATTAACAAGACCGTTTCTCCATATTTCCCAGGCCATGCTAACTTTTCCTCCTAAGGGTTGTGTCTGGGTTAGACAATGCCTTAACCATTTTTCCAGAACAAAGGGATGCAATCTTTTGTAGGAATGAATTCGAAAGTGTGGTTTGTCTGATGATAAAAACAAAGACCATCTAGCCAAGATTGCTTTTATGCTTCCAGAGCAGCAAATTTAAGATCTAAGGAGACATTATAACTGAAAGTCTACTTCTACACACAAGGACATTTGTGTATCATTTAAATATGATTCCCTGTGACAGGAAAAATAGATGAGCTTTTTCTGCTGGTAAAAGCTATAACAAAAGCTATAAGTTAAGTTTGCAATGCAGCTATTTTCATTTCCCCATAACTTTTTGGAAAAACTTTCCCCTGTGGTTGAACCTTTTCGTGCTTGATGATAGCCTAAAGATGAATTTTGTGGTACTGTGGGTTTTTTTTCTTTTTCTGAATTATGCAGCTGGGAAGAAATATTTTTCCATTAAAATAAACTTTAATGACAGAAATTTTAAATCAGATTTTGACATATGGCTGGGAAATAGTTCTCTCTGAGAAATATTTACTGTGAACACTTGCTGGCTGGGAAAATAACACTTAAATGGGCTTTTACCCATAAACCAAAAAGTCATTTTGTCTTTTCATTTTAAGTATTGCCTGTGTGTCTACATGAATTGCATAGTGCTATAATCCCATGCTGTAGAACTCAGTAATGCTTGACTAGATTTTCCTTGTATATTATGTAGCTGTGATTGTTGGTGTATGTGTGTAGCTGAAATGGTGGCACCCAGGGGAATCAATTGGGGATTGACTGAGTACATACTGAGTCAGCTTCTGCCCTGAAGAGTGTATAATCTAAGAAGAGACCATAAGTGTATCAAGTACTCAGAGGGGACGGGCAAGAGAAAGTAGCAAGAAAACATTGTTAAACAGACTAACTACAAGTACAGTTAGATGGCCGAGTGATTTCAAACATTTCTTACAATTATTATATCAGATAGTAAATAAAACAGATGTTTATGCTGAAGATAGTAGCATGCAGGGTTGCTCGAAACTCTGCTGTTCTACACCACAACATCTTTCTCTGCATCTCCTTTAAAACCAACCAAACTAGGTAAAATCTATTGTAATGCAGCATTAAAATGGCATGTTTGAACACAGCGGTGAGGAGATGCAAAAGTAGAAGTTCTCATAACAATGTTAATTTACCCATGTTACGTTTATATAAGACTTGAGGTTACTGGTTAGGCTACTATATGCATATCTTAATATATGATATGTGCAGTTGGGGAGATCTGATGTTCCTGACTATTGTGTACTCACGTGTGGAATATTAACATTGCACTACTGTAATTTTTTACATATAATAGATTACTGTATATTCCACAGTTTCAGTTTCTCCATTTTAAAATTAATCGGATATATTTCATTCTTCTATTTTGACAATAGGTAAATATAAGCTCCTTTGTGCTGCAAAAAAACCTAAATATTGTATTTGCTTTATTTTATTCATGTATTTTGACAACTAAATCTTAATGGGTAATCATTGCTGGCACAGTACTTTTGGCATTATAAACTGCAGGAGCAATGGTAAAGGCAATGTAAAATGTAAAATCTGTACATTGTAATTGGATGGATGGACTATATTTTGTTCACTTTGAAATCTGGAACAGAAAAAGGTCAAATTACACACCCTTGTATAATTCTGGCCTGCCTCATTCTCATGAACTGAAGAATATTTGATGAGTTTCCACTCTTGAGGATAACCATTATACATTTTTGAACTTGCTCATAGATATTAACTAAACTTCCTTTTATTCAAATTTATCTTAATTTTTTTTGTTCTTGTCTCTGTTATGTGTCCAGATAGGCAACTGGAGCATGTTACATTTGCCCTATTTGGTCAAGACCATGCTGCCCTTTCAAAACTAATATCTGCCCTAATCCTACATCTGTTAGTACTGCTGAAAAAAAAAAAAAAAGACATCAACTGACACTCTTGTTCATGAAATTTGATGACTGAGCATTTCATGAAAATGTTACTATTTATTCATGCGCGACACTGACATTGTGACATAGCAATGTTGTTGGGTTTTTTTTAATTGCTTTTTCTATGTAAAAAGAATTCTTATTTTGCTAGTTATAATTGTTGGAATCTTTCAGGTACGAAGGTTTTCCGAAGCATTCTTTTGTCTTGAGCATCCAAGGCAAGCTGCTCTTGCATATCAAGAACTACAGTGAGTAACTTGAAATAGAATATATTGAGGCTTTTCTTATTACTTTTCCAAATCGTGTTGCTAAATGCACGGAAACAGTTTGTAGTGCACAGCATATGTCACAAGTGTGCGTCAGATTACAAAAATGCCTTGTACGTACTTGTGTAACTAATTTAATAGGAACTTAGATTTAGCGCATTCTGTTTAAGTATTAACAGTAACAATTTACTTTGTAGGATTACCATCCTCTGTTATAATTCTCTTAATACAAGGTAATATTTTTCAGTGCTCAGAGTCATCTACAGATGTGTTCAGCTATCAAAAACACCTCCTTCTGCAGTTCTCTTCCACCTCTTCCTATTGAATGCAGTGAACTAGATGGAGATCTGAACTCATTACCTATAATCTTTGAAGATCGGTATTTAGATTCCATTACCGAAGGTAAATACAAGCTTGTGTGTTTTTCCTCTGAAGAATGAGTTACGCTATAGAAAAATTAGGTACACTTTTCTGTATATTTTCTAGCTATAGAGAAATGTTCCTTTGAAATGTTTATCTAGTTTATATTTTGAATAGCTGTAGAGTTTTTTTTTAATTTCGTAATGAAAGTTGTATAGCTTTAGTAATTTGCATAATCTTGTTATAAACTGTACTTTCCTTTTCTCACTTTTTTTTTTTTTTTTTTGTGGTAAAAGATTTGGCTGTACCCTGGGTAGCAGTTGAAAATCTTCAGAGGTCAGAGTCCAATAAGCTGGATAAATTTGAGGCCGAAGAAGGTTTTGTAGCTGGTTTTTCTAGCCCAGAGTTGAAAATCAGACCTGCAGGTGCCTCCAACATTTGGCATTCAGAAAGTGAAAAGCAGCTAACAAAGTCTTTGAAAGGGAAAAATGAAGATGTAAATAAATCCAAAGTTAAGGTTACTAAACTAATGAAAACAATGAAAACTGAAAACACAAAAAAAATAGTAAAACAGAATTCAAAGGACTCTGTGGTCTTGGTAGGCTACAAATGTTTGAAAAACACAGCACCAGAGGATGTCTCTAAATGCTATGAAGGCAGGCCTTCATCTCATCAGAAAGGACTGGATCCTGCAATAGATGGCTTTGCTTGTGACACAAGGACCTGCACAAGGCAAATAAGTCAAAAAGAACTTAGATGTTTGCCATCTAGAACTGAACAAAAATCTGCCCAAACTGACCATGTTCTGCAAAGCCAGTGTAGCCCTGTGATCTCTCATTGTGCAAATTCTGCCATTTTTGGCAGACTTAATACCTCCCAGGCAGGTACTGGAGTTACACAGGTGGATAGCATCTTGACACCTAGAAGCACAGTTGAAGGTTGTCCTGGCTGTCAGCCAACTTCATCAGGAGTGAGGACAATTGAGGTCAAACCAAATAACAAGAATCCTTATGAAGGGGAGAAAGTAACTGTTCGTACTGGGTTGTGGGCAGAATTTTTGCAAGATGGAGAGAATTTACAGGTGCCCAACTTTCAGACCGCAGAATCTGGAAGTAAAACTAACTTGGGGGAAGAGGTATTGGTGCTTGAAAAGGACGATGTCCAAGACATGAACTTTCAACATACTGGAGATGCCTTGACAAGAATAAAAAGCAATCATTCTGCTCTTTCTACAAAAGAGACTCATGTTGCCATAAGTGGAGACATGGTTAAGTTACCAGATGTTAGTGTCATTTATGCCTCATCTAGGTTTTCAGATTCAGGTGTAGAAAGTGAACCAAGCTCTTTTGCAACACACTCCAACCCTGATGTGTTTTTTGAAACCATTCAAGGGCAAAGTGCTTACAACAGTGAAAGACTGTTTCCTCAGCTTTTACTAAAACCAGATTACATAAAAAATGCAATAGAAAGCTATTGTACTGAGAGTACTAGTGCATTGAGTGAAATACAGTCATCCCTGACATCCATAAACTCTCTACCGTCAGATGATGATGAGCTTTCACCTGATGAAAATTCAAAGATATCACTTGTACCTGAATGCCAACTAAGTGACAGCAAAACTATATTAGATCTGGGAACAATTGATTTGCCAAAATGTGATGACAGTAAAAAATCAAATATCATTTTACAGCAACAGTGTGTTGTATTTTCAGGGCATTCACACATTGAAACTGTCTCTCTGCATTCCTCACTTTCAGACATAAAAGATTCTTTACAGTTAGTTGCTTCAGATGAAGATATATCTACTGAGATGAAAAATTACAGCTCACGTGCAAACTTTGACACAGTTTTTAAGGACTCTCAAAGCCTTGATAGGCATCAGAACACTACAGAAGGAGAAACTGAATTACATTCAGAAGTTATTTATCTGGGAGAACCATGTGTTGTTTCAGGTTCAGTATCTAGTAATGCTAAGTGTAATGTAGAGAAAACAAATGAGGGAAAACATAACGAACCTTTAGAATTAAGGCAAACAACTGAGGAATTGCCAACAGTTGAAAGTGAGACTCACCCAGATGCAAATAATCTCTCATCAACCAGCAGTATCGATATTGTGAAACAAGGTCTTGTAGAAAACTACTTTGGCTCTAGAAGCAGTACAGATATTTCTGATATTTGCCCTACTGACAACAGCAATCCTGATAGTCCTCAAAAGGAAAAATCTGAAAAACAAACTGTTGGCTCTTCGCAACGGGAGGAGGAGGAGGAGGAGGAGGAGCAGGATCAAGAAATGGTTGAAAATGGGTATTATGAGGAAACGGATTATAGTAATATTTTAGATGGAGATACAAATGCTGACTTTGAGCAGAATCATGGTCTAATGGAAGAAAAAGCTTTGAGATCTGAAAGGATTGACAGCGAGCATCTAAGAGATGGAATGAATATGGCTCCTATCTGTACTCCTGGTTGTTTGTCTTTTCCCTCTGTGCTGAGAGACTCTCCTTGCAGTGTTATATGTTCTTCAAAAAGCAAATCTGATGCAATAACAAAACAGCCAGGCAGCACATCCTGCAGCTCAGCTTCACCTATTTCGTGGTATGAAAGCTCCCCCAAACCTCAAATGCTAGCGTAAGTGATCATTTTAAAACAAAGTCTCTTTAAATTTTGAAAAACTTAAAATATGGTATTCAGAGGGGAAAGAAACATGGTCTTTGATCAAGATATCTTCCAGGTTGATGAATTATGGATTTATTTTCTCCTGCACACACAGCTAACTTTTCAGGTTTTAGAGGGTTGTTAGAAAGCGTATGTTGACACAGAATTCCAGTTATCACATCTACTTATCTCACCTTGTTTGGCAAGTTTAAAGCAAAATTGAAACTTTAAGATTTATATATATTGAATACATTTACATTAAAACACATTTTAAAATGAGGAATTACAGAATAGAAATATTTCAAGATCTCAGAGAAAAGAAATATGGTGTTTTATAAAATGAAAACTTAACATAATAGGTAAAGAAAAAGGCCCCGTCATGATTTACAAAATTGTTTAAGACAACAAAACTAAAAGCTGCCCAGCATAAGTGATCAGGCAAAGTGAGGTGTAACATTCAACTTAATGGCAATTTTTTGTCATCTGTTTGTCTGTAACACAATAACTTTGGAACACTACATCCCACCAATTCCAAAATTACAGGGAATGTTTCAGGCATCCAGGGGCACAAACCTATTAATTTTTGCAGCAAATTGGAATACAGGAGAAGGCTGAGTCAGGGGAAAATCAGGGTCCCCCCACTGCTCCAGTGCTGCAGGCAAAGGAAATTCTCTGTTCCTGCCCCCTTACTGCCTACATATCAGAGGCAGCAGCTTAATTTGCCATGTGGGGACATTGTGCATAGCCCAGACTGTAACAGAAATAAGAGAGCTTTACAGGGACAGTTTGTAGGGGGGACGTGGGGACGGGGTGAGGGAGAAGTGGGGATCCAGTGAGAGAAGCATGAGGGACCAGAAGATAGGAAATGGTGGGAGGAAAAACAGGAACCTGGGGAGGTCTGGGTCGCGGTGGTAGAATCGGGGGTGGAGAGAAATGTGGGGGACGGGGACGGGTGGATGGAGGGACCTGGAGGCAAAGGGGGGAAACCGAGACCTAGAATATGGGTGAGTAGATGAGGGACAAAGCAGGACCTTTAAAGGGATTGGTTGGGGACGGGGGAGTGCTGGTGGTGTGAGAAGCAGGGACCCGGGGGGGGGTTGGGTGGGCGTGGAAGCAGAGACACAGGGTTGGGGAGTAGAGTTGGGAAAAGGAAAACAGGAACTGGGGAGGAGAGATGGTAAGGGAGGGAGGAGAAGCCCTGGGAAGGAGGAGCAGACACTGTAGTGGTGGTGGTGGGAGTTGGAGATGGGATGGGGAGGAACACAGAGACCTGGGGGGAGGAGGGGGCAGCGGGGGGGAATAGCCAGTTATATGTGGAGGAGACATGGGGGGGGCACACAGAGGGAGGCATGAGGGAGGGGGTGATGGGACTAGCAGAGAGACCCTGAAATGAATGGGCATGGGAAGGTGGCCTACAAGGTGCTTGTGGGGCCCGGGGAGGAACAGAGGGATGTAAGAAGCCCCTGGTGGGCGCAATGTGCTCAGCCTACAGAAGCTACAGTGTGTGCAACCCGCTACTGGTAAAGAATGGGAGCATTAAAAAACTCTCCATTTACATTTATTAGAGCTATAGATGTATAGTAATTCATAAAGTCTGCATCTATACTAAGGACTATATGTACAGTAATCAAATATAAATAAGCATGAACAAGGGCACTTAGAATAGGGTTGTTTTTTATGGTGAAGTGATTTTAGCATCCCCTGCTTTCCTGACTCTCACTTGTGAGACCTCACATAATGATCTTTTTCTCTACTAACGAGGATGGTACATGGTTCCTTTTGGAGCACATCAGTGGCAATTCTTCAGTTTGTTACAAGTGGCTGCTAGTAGGCAATTCCAAGCATTGTCTCCATCCTCATCTGACGTAGAGATTGAGGCCTGGATGCAAAAAAGGAGTTAGGCCTTCCTACCATTCTTTATCCCTCTGGTACCTGCACCTAAGTACCAGTTTTAGGCTCCACTAGGATTCACAAAATTCCCACTCAGCTGCCACCTAACCCTGTAGGTGCCTAAATAACTCAGCACCTACATTTTTACAGTAAAAGTTTCCGAGATAACTATGTTTCTGCTTCTGAGTAGATGCCCTGCTACCTCCCTCAATGCACCTGGATATCTATTTCTTGCCTAAGACCCAGAGCGATTCACAAACCATGGGAGGATGATTAACATTTGGCCTCCGAAGTTGAGTGTGGGGCCCAATCCAATAGGTGTGCTAAGACGCTGCCTGCCAGATTGGGCCCCCCAGATGAGTTCACACAAAACAGCAAAGATCGGGGGAGGACGAGGATTTCTCTTGTAACTTCTAGCAAAGTGGTTAGGATACTCCCCCAGGAGGTTGGGAGGCCTCCCAGTTCAAACTCCAGTTTGATCGTAGGTCTCCCACATCTTGGATGAGTGCTCTAACCTCCAGGCTATAGAGTCATTCTCATGCTTGTATGCTCTCACTCTTGCCCTTTCTCTCTCAAAGATAATGGACTGAATAGAGACACTGGATTTATGATTTATTACAACAATCTACAATCCATTAAAACTCTTCCCCGAGCTTACCCTTTCCATGCATGACTGGGGATGTGTAACTGGCCACTTCACCTTGTATGGTCCCTTGAAATATGCTTTCACCTTGTATTTAGCTGTGACACTCTGAGTATGTTTTCCAGACCTGAAGAACTCCGTGTCAGCTTGAAAGCTTGTCTCTCTCACCGACAGAGGTTGATCCAATAAAAGATATTCCCTCACCCACCTTGTCTCTCTCTCACATGTGCACAAGAATGAGAATGACTCTAGTCTGGTGGTTAGAACAGTCATTCAGGAAACAGTCTCTCTGCTCAAATGACTGTCATGCACTATTTATCTACAGTGCAGTACTTCAACAAGAGAGATGAAGTGAGCCTCCCATCAGAATATCCCACAGCCCAATAGTTGAGCACTCACCTAAAAGGTGGCAGATTCTATTCAAATTCCTTTTACCCCTCAGGTGGAAGGGGGAATTGAACCAAATGTCTCCCATGTCCCTGGTGAGTACCCTAACAGCTGGTAAATGTTGGGAAATGTTGAAGGAGGGTCTTCTTCCCAGGACCCCATCCTCTTCTTGCTAAAACAACATAGATGCCTAACTCCAAAGACAGTTGCCAGCTGTGAATTGCTAGCAGAGATAGGTATCTCCCTGCAGTCTAGACTTAGGCTATATCTACACTACAGTACTTACAGTGGTGCACTGTAGTGCTTGTGGTGGAGATGCTCTTAGTCAACAGGAGAGATCTCTCCCATTGGCTTAATAACACTTGCCTCTGTGAAAGGAGGTGGCTATGTTGCTGTGATGCTCAGCATTGCAATGACTAATTCCTTTTGTGCAACCAGGCCTGAGTGCCTGCCTAATCCAAAGTCCAGTAAAGTTAATGAGAGTCTGTACTTACGTTGACTTCCAGTGGGCTTCAGATCAGGCTTTAAGAAAGAATTAAACCCAGTTGTATTCACATTAATATTTCATTTAGATGAATGCTGTTTATTGCACTTGACAGGAATAACTCTAGAATCTTGTGTACCTTTATGATATGCCTCAAAGCCGACCAATTTGCACAGGTGTTTGGAGGATGGAGAGCTTGTGTTTGTGGCTGGGGACTTTATTTGGGGAGAATAGGATTTCATGAGATCTGAGGTGGAAAATTTGGATTTTGGGGACTGACTACTTTTGTTGTTTTGGCACTATTATCTTGGATTGCACTTTTTTAATAATTTGTCATGGGTGCCTAAGTCTGGAATAAATGGTTTTTATGCTTTATATGAACTAAATAAATGAAATATTTAAGTAAAAAGCAGTGGAAAATTATGTTCTTGCAGACCCTACATTTATTGGATTTTAATAAGGTATATAACAGAATTATTATAGTAAGCACTGTTTTGTTCCAGTTTTCTCCAGGCTAAAGAGGAATTAAAGCAACTTAAACTCCCTGGATTTATGTATAGTGATGTTCTCAGACTGGCTTCGTCCGCACCTTATTTCAGCACAGAAGAGGATGAAGGTTCAGAAGATGGAATACATCTCATAGTCTGTGTTCATGGCCTAGATGGTATGCTGTGGTGTGCTTGTTACTGAATAACAGATCAATTGATCAAGATCAAGTTTTGGTTTTGTTGTTTTGAGCTCTGAGTTAAACCATGTTGAAACAAATATTCATTAAAATGAATTAAGAATGTGATGTTCTTCGAGCAGTGTCCCTATGAGTGCTCCAGTTCAGGTGTGCATGCACCTCTTGAACCCTTGATTGGAGATTTTTCCATTAGCAGTGCCTGTTTGGCCTGTGCCTGCACCCTGTGCCTTCTTGTCCCAGACACTGGGGCTGTATAGTAATGCGTAGGCGAACCACCCTTAGTTCCTTCTGTACCGCGTTGGTCTGAGATGGAGCTTTAGCATGTCCACTTTGAGAGTGCTTCAGCTATTTCGTATTCTAGTTTAGACTGTAGTTGTTCATTAGTATAAGTTAAAGTTAGTTAGCATTAAATAGTAAGAGGATTGTTTTCCTCCTCTTTTTCCCTTTTCGGAGCCTTGTCTTCCTGGCAGGGCATGTCATTAATGGAGTCTGTGTCCAGATCGAGGTGCCACACTTTAGGAAAGATGTGGACAAATTGGAGAGAGTCCAGGGGACATCTAAAAAAAATGGTAAAAGGTTTAGAAAATCTGACCTATGGGGAAAGATTAAGAAACTAGGCATGTTTAGTCTTGAGAAAAGACTGAAGGGGCATTTTCAAATGTGTTAAGGGATGTTATAAAGAGGATGTGATCCATTGTTCTTTATGCCCACTGAAGGTAGGAAAAGAAGTAATCTGCAGCAAGGGAGCTTTGGGTTAGTTACTCGGAGAAAGTTTCCAACTATAAGGATAGTTAAGTACTGGAATAGACTACTAAGAGAAGTTTTTTGGAATCCCCATTATTGGAGGTTTTTAAGAATAGACTAGACAGATACCTGTCAGGGATGCTCTAGGTATACTTGCTCATGCCTTAATGCAGGAGGAAGTACTCTGAAGACCTCTCGAGATCCTTCCAGCCCAACATTTCTATAATTCTTCTTCAAGTGATTGTACTTATGCATTTTGTTCTTGGTGTCTATGTGCCCACGAACAGCTGTCAAAACTTTTTCCCTCAGTGGTACTTGTTTGGCAGCTCAAGCACCATCTGCTGTTGTGTGCCATTGCGTATAGGTATAAAGGGCAGAGCTGCCCCCGGCCTCCCTCAGTTCCTTCTTACTGCCCATGATGGTCATTGGAACCCCTGTTCATTGCAGAACAATTGTGTCTCTTCTCTGTATATATGGTATAGTTGTAGTTTAGTACTTGTTATAGTTAGTAAGTGTTAGTTGTTTTGTTTTAAAAAACAAAATTTTATGTGTGTATATGTATTCTGCTGCCGGCACTGAGGCATGCTCCGGTTGCTGGGCTTCAGGCCATGAGCTTCCTGCTCAAAACCTATGCTGGTAAACGACCCACATTGTAGTTGAGTGTGAGGGAGGAGCAAATACACTGGTACCAGATTAGCTAGGAATTCAAGCCTAGGACAACAAAGAATAAGGAGGCTAGGCTGAAGTTGCTGCTAATGGAGGTGGTGATCAGACCATCCTGGGAGCTATCCTGGTCAAACCTGGTGTCAAGTGCTTAGCTTCAGTTAGAAGTGCGCCTCCACAACTGTCGGAGTCCTGGGACTCTTTCGCCTGTGCCTCGGAAGAAGTATAAATCTTCCAAAGAGTATCTGACCAGGGGAAGATCTCTACCCTCCAAGCATGGAAAGAGGGGTGAGAGGTAGTCGAGTAGAGTGCAACTGAAATCTAAGCACGCCTCCTCCAAATCAGTGTCTAATTCAGCACAATTGGCTATGTGCTGGAGAAGATACTGTTGAGTCCAGTGCCAAAAGCATCAACTTCAGCGGCATCGCAGCAGACAGATATGGTCTCAGTGCCAACTACCCCAGAGTCCTTTGCAGCAGCAAGGAATTTACTCTGTCTCTGAGTACTGGTGGTTCAGGAGTCACATCCCTCTGGACTACTGAAACAGCTGACACCAACGCCAGCGATACAGCATGCAATACTACACCAGCTGCTTATTTCCCAGATAGTCAGATCATCAGTACTGTCCTAAGGGGAAGCCAGCAATGATTGCGACTCTCTGCCCATCGCCAAGTTCTCTGCTCCAGTCCCCGGCACTGGCTTGAGCAACCCCTCCATGATTGGAGGAAGGGGAATTTCTCTTCATCTGACTCAGAAGTGGCATCTTATATCTCTCAGCCTCAGAGCAGGATCTACCGGTCCCCACCTAGATTCTCCTTCTCCACATTCCTTCGTGACCCCACAGTGGGAGCTACTGGGAACATGGCCAGGAGGTCACTGGAGTTTGGCCCCTTATCAATGGCCATTTTAGAACCCGTAGGGGTTCCCCCAACTTCTGCGTCCTCCTCTTGTCGAGCCTACTCTGTGCCTTAATCCAGGTGGGTTAGTCCTTTCACGAAGCTGCTCCATCTCAAGTGTTCGGGCCCAGTACTGAGTGTCAAGAAGAGGCGCTTAGGAAGAAGAGGAGCAGCCTGTGGAAGTTCAGCTACTTCCAGTCTTGGCTTCATGCTCACCCTCTCTGGAGAAGTTTCTTTCTTTGGAGGCAATTTCACACCTTCCTGATGATTACAAGACCTACCAGGAATTGTTAAAGAGTGTGGCTTTATACTTGGGCATTCAGATCAAGGAGGTCAGGGAGTCCTCTCATCACCTGACTGACATTTTATCAATGACAGGTCCACCTAGTGTGCAACTGCCAATCAACGAGGTGATATTAGAGCCTATGAAGACACTATGGCAGACCCCATCTTCATTGTCTTGCACCTCAAAGCATGCAGAGCAAAAGTACTATGTGTCCTCCCAAGAATTTGACTATCTTTTATTCCCACTCATCTCCAGGATTGCTGGTTGTCACAGCGGCTAATGAGAGTGCGCATCAGGCTTCCCCCCACCCCCAATCAAACGAGGCAAATAAACTGAACTTGTTTGGCATGAAGTTTTATTTTGAGTGGGGAATTGTAGCTTTGAATTGCCAACCAACAGGCTCTGCTGGGGCATTATGATTTTAATTTATGGGGCTCCATGGAGAACAGGGGTAGACTAGTAATGAGAACTTTGGTGCAGGCAGACCTGAAAGTGGTAGACTCAACGGCTAGGACCATGGCTTCTGGGGATGCTATTCGGAGAGCCTCATGCTTACAGTTTTTTGGTCTCCCCTATGAAACGCAGAATACTATTTAGGACGTGTCTCTTGAGGGTCCTTCTTTGTTCTCAGATCAGACAGACAGGAAGCTCCATGGGCTTAAGGACTGAAGGGACACTTTTAAGTCCATGGGTTTGTACATGCTTTCCCCAATCAGAAAGCACTATCATTCTCAGTAGACGCACCATTTTCCCACTCCACATCCTCATCTTGTCCTTTCAGAGAAGTCCAGAGGTTATAGGCGCAGGCCTCACCCTCCTGCTGCTTCAGCTCCAGCTCTGGGCCTTTCTAGATATCTGGTAAGTGCCAGCAGCAAGTGTGATGGGCCAGTTGGGGAGCCCATATTTCCAGACCCTGTCCCTGTTACATTTGCAAACAGTCCCACTTCCACAGTGCTTGGTCCTGAATTACTTTGGACCAGTGGGTCTTTGAGCACTGTGCAAGTGGGATATACCGTTCAATTTATATCTATCCCTCCCTTCCCCTCCTCAGGGACCACTCTCACAGGGATCTCCTCCTTCAGGAGGTACAATCTCTCCTTCAGTTGGGGGCCATAGAGGAGGTTCCGTGCTGCCACAGAGGGACGGAGTTTTATTCCCCGTTTCCTGATCCTGAAAGCAATGGGGGATTCAGATCAATTTTAGACCTGCGTCAACCCAACAAATTATTAAAGATAAAGTTTTGCATGGTCACTCTAGTTCTGTTGTCCCTGTCCTGGACCCTGGAGACTGGTATGCTACCCTTGACTTAAAAGATACCTAATTCCATGTGGCAACCAACCAAGCTCACAGGAAGTACCTCAGATTTCTGGTGAATCAAAATCATCAGTTCACTGTACTACCATTTGATCTGTCAGCAGCTCTCAACAACAAAAGTTATTGCAGTAGTAGCTGCCTTCCTCAGAAGATCAGGAGTCCAAGTTTATCCCTGTTTGAACAACTGGTTGTCAAGGGCTGATCCAGACTGCAGGTGTGGTTCAGTGTATCTCTGTTCTAGTCAACATTTACTGCTTTAGGACTGCTAGTCAATGCAGAGAAGTTTCCTCTCCCCAGTTCAGAGAACAGAGTTTATGGGGGCTGTACTAGACTTGAATCAAGCCAGAGCTTTTCTTCTGAAATCAAAGTATCAGGCAATTTGATCAGTTATTATAGATCTCAAAGCTCAACAAATCCCAAAAGCACGAAACTGTTGGAGGCTTCTGGGACATACATGGTTCAATACACCAGACTGCCCCTCAGAATTCTTCAGGGTTGGCTAGTCTCAGTCTACTCACCGAGCTGTCTCAATTTAGATATAGTGGTGAGGATACCCTCTCATGTCCCTTCCTCTCTTGACTGGCTGGACTTGTCCACCAGTGTACATATGAGTGTTCCCTTAGCCCATCTGACACCAATGCTCACATTCGTGTCAGACACATCTGCCATTGGGTTGGGGGCCCATCTGGATTCTCTACAGAATCATGGGTCTATTGTTTGCAGAGGACTTAGCTTTACACTTCAATGTCAGAAAGCTGTCAGATTTGCGTGCCATCTTGCTCCAGATCAAGGGAAACAGCCTGTTAGTCCTTACAGACAGCACACTGGCAATGTCTTACCTCAACAAGCAGAGAGGAGCCCATTTGTCTCCACTCTGTTGAGGCATCTCTGCTTTGGGAGCACTGCATTGCCAACTTGATTGATCTGGAAACTTCTTACCTACCGGGGATCCAAAATGATGTGGCAGATTACCTGAGCACATAGTTTGAGTTACCATGAGTGGTATCTTTGTCCAGATATTTCCAGATACATTAGTGAAATCTCCACTCTCACTTCCTTTATACTTGGACCTAATCTCCCTGAGATGGAGGGCGCTTCCTGCTGGCTGTCCCGGGGATTAGCTCTGCTAGCCAGTGTGCCGCCTTCTTGTGATGTCTCACTGCCTGGACCCATGTCATTCCCAAGAACCATGGCATCCTCTTCAGGACACAGCCCTCCAGCTGTGCAACACTCTGTGCTCCCCCTCTTCTGGGGGAATGTATTGGAGTCCAAGTGTCCAGCCACTTCCTCAGTGGGGATGAGGGGAGGACCCGGGCCTGCTTACTACTCCGGGTTCCAGACCAGGGACCCTGTAGATGGCAGCCACATGCTGTGTCCCCGCCAGCTTCCCCTTCCTGGGCCACGTCCCTGCAGCCCCAGCACCTTCTCCGCCCTTATCTCAGGATCTCAGCATGACAGTTTTAGCAGTCAGCCAGGAGGTGTCTTTCTCTTTCCTGATCCTATCCAGCACTTCTCTGTCCAAGGTGCTAACTTTCTTCCTCCTGCAAGGCAGCCTGGTCTCCCTCCTCAAGCTCTAGGGAACAAATAACTGCACCTGTCCTGCCCTGCAGCTCTTTTCATATGGGCCTGCCAGGCCCTGGTTGGCTGCTCATCGCAGCCCCTCTCCTATTGGCTCCCTAGGGCTCCATTAACCCCTTACAGGCCAGTGTGGGGCGGTCGCCCCATTACACTCCCAAAATCATAGTCACGTACTCCACCTGATCCTGCAATCTCTCCATTTAATTGTATAAATGCTCCATTGCTAGACATTAGAGAGCAGTCTTTCTCAAAAGAAGTTCAAGAGATCCTGCTAAATAGTAGAAAGCCTTTTACTCGGACTACTTACCTCTCTAAGTGGAGATGTTTTTCCAACAGGTCTCTCCATTACACAGTATCACCTTCCCATTCTTCCATTTAACACATACTAGATTACTTATTGGAGCTGAAACCACCAAGGTTAAGCTGTTACTTTTCTATCAAGGTACATGTGGCAGCTATTTCAACTCTCTACCCTAAAATGGATAACTGATCTGTTATTTTTGTAATGACATGTCCATAAGGTTTTTGAAAGGTCTAGTCAAATTATATCATCAGGTGCAAGACCCCATTCTCCCAGGAGATCTAAACTTAGTGTTGTCAAGACTTATGGGTCCCCATCTGAGCCTTGCTACTTACTTTCTACTACTTCTATCAGTGAAGGTGGCATTTTTGGTTGCCATCACCTCAGCCACAAGAGTAGAACAGCTGCATGCCTTAATGATCCCTATATGATCTTCTTTAAGGACAAGGTTTACTTGTGTCCTCATCTGAGGTTTATCACAAAGGTGGTGTCCTCTTGCCATATCAATCAGCCAATGTACTTACCTGTATTCTGGCCACAGCCACATTCGAGTAGGGAAGAGGAATGTATGCACACTCTGGACATCAGAAAAGCTATTGCATTCTACCTGGACAGAAGTCCTCCCAACTGTTTGTCCTTTTATTCTCTCTGCCACAGCTACAATCAGCCTCCACTCAGAAAATTTCTTCCTGGATAGCCTCCTGTATATGCATGTGCTATGACCTGGCTAATGTAACCCTGCCACAGGTCATTCAGTGAGATCACAATCGGCCTCAGTGGCTTTTTCTAGCACATGTTCCAGTTGTGGACATTTGTAGAGCCGCAAATTCATCCTCAGTCCACACATTTGCATCCCATTGTTAGGACTAGCGACAATGGTAGACTTGGACAAGTTCTACAATCTTTATTGAAATAAACTCCGAGTTTCATGGCTTGTGAGTCACCAAGAGTGGAATGCACATGTTCAATGACTCAAAGAAGAAAAAAGTTATTAACCTGTTCAATAACTGTTGTTCTTTGAGATGTGTTACACATATCCATTCCACAAACTGCCCTCCTACCCTCTACATTGAAGTTCCAGCAAAAAAGAAACTAGTGGGGCCTGGGGACAGCTCTGACCTTTATACGTGTACACAGTGATGCACAGCAGCAGAGGCTCTCGAGCCACCCAAAGGGTACCACAGAGGAAAAATGTTTCCAACAGCAGGGCACGCAGACACCAAGAGTGGAATGGATGTGTACAACACTTCTTGAAGAACAACAGTTACTGAACAGGTCAGTAACCTCTTTTTTTATAATCCATTTTGCCTTTCTACTTTACTAATCCTTATGTAGTGCTGCTTCTAACTGGTCCCTTACTCCTCTCTCCCATCCCTCAAATTCTCTAATCCTTTCTTCCTCCTCCCCCAGTCTGAGTTCATTTCACTGAATTTTATCAAAATTAGTTAGTACTTAGTTGTACTTTTTGCCTTAACATCCAGTGAATGTAAAATATTATACACATAGTCACCAAAACTTAACTACGTAAGTTCTGGGTTTTCTAAAATGGCTGTGAGCTTTGTGTCATTTCTGTAGATTGTGATTCTATCATTGTGTTTGGTTTTGCTACTACAGCATCAGAGGTCTTAATTAGTTTTAATTTTGATATGGTAAAATATAAAATTTGCAATAGTTTGCTGGGGAATGCCAGTGCTGCAGTTGTCTGTCTGTCCATTTTGTCTGTCTTGTTTCTAAATTAGTATATTTACCTTGTTAAATAGCAAGATCACTTTTGTCATAGCAAGCCTTTTAACCTTTTTTGTTTGTTTGTTTTAAGGTAATAGTGCAGATCTAAGATTAGTGAAGACTTATATTGAGCTTGGACTACCTGGCGGACGAATAGATTTTCTTATGTCTGAGAGGAACCAGGTATTTGTAAACAACAAAAGGATTTTCATACAACAAATTAAATTGTATACATTTTAAAAAAAATGTTTTCTTAAGTTACCATTATTATTGTATTGTAATAAATTTAGACCCTGATCCTGCAGAAGTATCCATATAGAGAGACTGCTTAGCCATTTTAGATAACTGTTGTAATTGGGGAGACTAAATGGTCATAAAATGGTCGATGCAAGTGAATCCCTTTGCAGAATCTGAGGTTTAATTTTATTATACACTAAGCCCTAGTTTACCCTAGGAATTGAGGTCAAATTTAGCAGCGTTAAATCGATTTAACCCTACACCTGTCCACACGACGAAGCCCTTTTTTTCGACTTAAAGGACTCTTAAAATTGATTTCCTTACTCCACCCCCAACAAGGGAATTAACCCTGAAATCGGCCTTGCCGGGTTGAATTTGGGGTACCGTGGACGCAATTAGATGGTATTGGCCTCCGGGAGCTATCCCAGAATGCTCCATTGTGACCGCTCTGGACAGCACTCTCAACTAGCATGCACTGGCCAGGGAGACAAGAAAAGGCCCGCGAACTTTTGAATTTGATTTCCTGTTTGGCCAGCGTGGCAAGCTGCAGGTGAGTGCAGAGCTCATCAGCAGAGGTGACCATGCAGCGCTCATCAGCAGAGGTGACCATGATTGAGTCCCAGAATCGCAAAAGAGCTCCAGCATGGACCAAACAGGAGGTACGGGATCTGATCGCTGTATGGGGAGAGGAATCTGTGCTATCAGAACTCCGTTCCAGTTTTCGAAATGCCAAAACATTTGTCAAAATCTCCAAGGGCATGAAGGACAGAGGCCATAACAGGGACCCGAAGCAGTGCCGTGTGAAACTTAAGGAGCTGAGGCAAGCCTACCAGAAAACCAGAGAGGCAAACGGCCGCTCCGGGTCAGAGCACAAAACATGCCGCTTCTATGATGAGCTGCATGCCATCTTAGGGGGTTCAGCCACCACTACCCCAACCATGTTGTTTGACTCCTTCAATGAAGATGGAGGCAACATGGAAGCAGGTTTTGGGGACGAGGAAGATGATGATGAGGAGGTTGTAGATAGCTCACAGCAAGCAAGTGGAGAAACCAGTTTTCCCGACAGCCAGGAACTGTTTCTCACCCTGGACCTGGAGCCAGTACCCCATGAACCCACCCAAGGCTGCCTCCCAGACCCGCCAGGCAGAGAAGGGACCTCTGGTGAGTGTACCTTTTTAAATAGTATACATGGTTTAAAAGCAAGCGTGTTTAATGATTAATTTGCCCTGGCATTCGCGGCCAGTACAGCTACTGGAAAAGTCTGTTAAAGTGTCTGGGGATGGAGCGAAAATCCTCCAGGGACATCTCCATAAAGCTCTCCTGGAAGTACTCCCAAAGCCTTTGCAAAAGGTTTCTGGGGAGGGCAGCCTTATTCCGTCCACCATGGTAGGACACTTTACCATGCCAGGCCAGTAGCACATAGTAGGGAATCATTGCAGAACAAAGCATTGTAGTGTTTGTTTGCTGGCATTCAAACAACATCCGTTCTTTATCTCTCTGTGTTATCCTCAGGAGAGTGATATCATTCATGATCACCTGGTTGAAATAGGGTGCTTTTCTTAAGGGGACATTCAGAGATGGTCTGTTCCTGCTGGGCTTTGCCTGTGGCTGAGCAGAAATGTTTTCCGCTGTTAGCCACGGGGAGGGGGGAGGGGAGAGGGGCTAGCCACGTGGTGGGGGGAGGCAAAATGCGACCTTGTAATGAAAGCACATGTGCTATGTATGTAATGTTAACAGCAAGGTTCACCATGAAAGAGTGTACCCATTGTTTTATAAAATGTGTCTTTTTAAATACCACTGTCCCTTTTTTTTCTCCACCAGCTGCATGTGTATCAAGGATCACAGGATCTTCTCCTTCCCAGAGGCTAGCGAAGATTAGAAGGCGAAAAAAATGCACTCGTGATTAAATGTTCTCTGAGCTCATGCTGTCCTCCCACACTGACAGAGCACAGATGAATGCGTGGAGGCAGACAATGTCAGAGTGCAGGAAAGCACAAAATGACCGGGAGGAGAGGTGGCGGGCTGAAGAGAGTAAGTGGCGGGCTGAAGAGAGGGCTGAAGCTGAAAGGTGGCGGCAGCTTGATGAGAAGAGGCAGGATTCAATGCTGAGGCTGCTGGAGGATCAAACTAATATGCTCCAGCATATGGCTGAGCTGCAGGAAAGGCAGCAGGAGCACAGCCCCTGTGTAACCAACCGCCCTCCACCCCAAGTTCCATAGCCTCCTCACCCAGACGCCCAAGAACGCGGTGGGGGGCCTCCGGCCACCCAGCCACTCCACCCCAGAGGATTGCCCAAGGAACAGAAGGCTGGCATTCAATAAGTTTTAACCTTTTAAAGTGCGGTGTGGCCTTGTCCTTCCCTCCTCCACCACCCCTCCTGGTGCTTTTCTCCTCCACCACCCCTCCCAGGCTACCTTGGCAGTTATCCCCCTATTTGTATGATGAATTAATAAAGAATCCATGAATCAGCAATGACTTTATTGCCTCTGCAAGCGGAGATCGAAGGGAAGAGGGGAGGGTGGTTAGCTTACAGGGAAGCAGAGTGAACCAAGGGGGTGGGAGGATTCATCAAGGAGAAACAAACAGAACTTTCACACCGTAGCCTGGCCAGTCATGAAACTGGTTTTCAAAGCTTCTCTGATGCGCACCACGCCCTCCTGTGCTCTTCTAACAGCCCTGGTGTCTGGCTGCACGTAACCAGCGGCCAGGCAATTTGCCTCAACCTCCCACCCCGCCATAAACGTTTCCCCCTTACTCTCACAGATATTGTGGAGCACACAGCAAGCAGTAATAACAGTGGGAATATTGGTTTTGCTGAGGTCTAACCGAGTCCATAAACTGCGCCAGCGCGCTTTTAATCGTCCAAATGCACATTCTACCACCATTCTGCACTTGCTCAGCCTTAGTTGAACAGCTCCTGACTACTGTCCAGGCTGCCTGTGTACGGCTTCATGAGCCATGGCATTAAGGAGTAGGCTGGGTCCCCAAGGATAACTATATGCATTTCAACATTCCCAATGGTTATTTTCTGGTCTGGGAATAAAGTCCCTTCCTGCAGCTTTTGAAACAGACCACAGTTCCTGAAGATGCGAGCGTCATGTACCTTTCCCGGCCATCCCATGTTGATATTGGCGAAACGTCCCTTGTGATCCACCAGTGCTTGCAGCACTATTGAAAAGTACCCCATGCGGTTTATGTACTCGCCGGCTTGGTGCTCCGGTGCCAACATAGGCATATGGGTTCCGTCTATGGCCCCACCACAGTTAGGGAATCCCATTGCAGCAAAGCCATCCACTATGACCTGCACATTTCCCAGAATCACTACCCTTGATATCAGCAGCGCAGTTATTAGCATTGGCTACCTGCATCACAGCAGCCCCCACAGTAGATTTGCCCACTCCAAATTGATTCCCGACTGACGGGTAGCTGTCTGGCATTGCAAGCTTCCACGGGGCTATTGCCACTCATTTCTCAACTGTGAGGGCTGCTCTCACCTTGGTATTCTTGCGCCTCAGGGCAGGGGAAAGCAAGTCACAAAGTTCCATGAAAATGCCCTTACACATGCAAAAGTTTCGCAGCCACTGGGAATCGTCCCAGACCTGCAACACTTTGCAGTCCCACCAGTCTTTGCTTGTTTCCCAGGCCCAGAATTGGCGTTCCACAACATGAACCTGCCCCATTAGCACCATGATGCCCACATTGCCAGGGCCCGTGCTTTGAGATAAGTCTGTGTCCATGTCTTCATCACTCTCGTCACCGCGCTGACATCGCCTACTCGCCCGGTTTCGCTTTGCCAGGTTCTGGTGCTGCATATACTGGTGGATAATGCGTGTGGTGTTTAATGTGCTCCTAATTGCCAGAGTGATCTGAGCGGGCTCCATGCTTGCTGTGGTATGGCATCTGCACAGAAAAAAGGTGCGGAACGATTGTCTGCTGTTGCTCTTACGGAGGGAGGGGTGACTGACGACACGGCTTACAGGGTTGGCTTACAGGGAATTAAAATCAACAAAGGGGGTGGCTTTACATCAAGGAGAAACAAAAACAACTGTCACACAGAATGGCCCCCCAAGAACTGAACTCAAAACCCTGGGTTTAGCAGGCCAATGCTCAACCCAATACTCAACCCAATGAGCTATCCCTCCCCTGGTATTTCAGGCAGGACTGAATCTCCATTAAACTTTTTAAGGTGCCCCTGACAGACCTCACCAAAACAATTGTCGGCAGTTGATTTCACGGAGGGAGGGAGGGAGCGGGGAGCAAATGAATACAAAACAAATCTGGTGTATTTCTTGTTTTGATCCACTTCATTGATCTTTTACATCTTTGGCTGGCAGCAGATGGTGCAATAGGACTGCTAGCCATCTTCATCTCCTAGCTGCTCGCCATAAGATGGTACAATAGGACTGCTGGCGGGACTAAAGAGAATGATCTGGTCAAGTCACTCCTATTTTAGTCCCTGCACCCATGTCTGCCCTGGCGCTCCTGACCGACCTTACCGAGGCGGCCAGGAGCACCTCAGACATGACGACGATGGCTATCAGGCCTATTGCACCGTCTCCTGCCACAAGGCAATGGGTTGCTGCTGTGTAGCAATGCAGTACCGCATCTGCCAGCACCCAGGAGACGTACGGTGACAGTGAGCTGAGCGGGCTCCATGCTTGCCATGGTATGGCGTCTGCACAGGTAATTCAGGAAAAAAGATGCAAAACAATTGTCTGCCGTTGCTTTCACAGAGGGAGGGAGGGCCTGACGACATGTACCCAGAACCACCTGCAACAATGTTTTTGCCCCATTAGGCATTGGGATCTCAACCCAGAATTGCAATGGGCGGCGGAGACTGCGGGAACTGTGGGATAGCTACCCACAGTGCAATGCTCCGGAAGTCGATGCTAGCCTCGGTACTGTGGAAGCACTCGGCCAAGTTAATGCACTTAGAGCATTTTGTGTGGGGGGGACACACAATCGACTATATAAAAACGATTTCTAAAAAACCGACTTCTATAAATTCGACCTAAATTCGTAGTGTAGACATCCGCTAAAGCAATTATACAAACTGGCATGACCTTGCTAAATATATATTATAATTTATACATATTATATAAATTAATACATCTCTACAGAGCATTTAGAGATATAGTAATATAATCTGCAATCCTCTCTTCTTCTCAGCATAATAACCAATTAAGACTAGAACACCCCTAATTTTTTCCCATCTTAGCTGACAGGAGCGAAGCCCAGGGTGGGAAGAAAGAAGAGCTAATGTTTTATGGAACAGAGTCTGAGAACCACAAAATAGTCAGCCTTTCCTTTTTTATTCTTTTTTTTTTTTTTTTTTTTTTGGTCATTGCATTGCAATATTGGTATTATGATGATAAATCAGGAGCAATTACCAATCTTAAATATCTTTGGTTTTGTTTAAAATAGTTTTCAAATGACTTTAGCTTGAAAAAAGTATAGCTGGCATTTTAATATGATTTTTATCCAATTACAATACATGTTCTAGATGTACTTCAGATAACCAGTCATTAATGGATTTAAGGTGAAACAACTCATTTGATCTCAGTCTACAGCCACTGTAACTTGTTGCTATTAATTAGTGTAGAGAAGCAGCCCTAGATTGAAATAAGGGCCGTTTTTTCACACTTTGAAATAAGAGAGAGGTGCATACAGTAAATTGTCTCATATTATCATTTCAGTTACAGTGTGGCTTAATCTGGGATATGTGGTTTGTCTTTTCTCTGTCCAGCTGATGAGAACTGTGCATATGTGATAGAGGTTAGACTAGCGGTACTGTTAATATTAGTTTTGGTGCTCTTTGGAGCAAAGTACTTATCATAAAATGATGTACAGACAGTTTATTCCTTCCTCCCAAAAAACCCTATCCAGGAGGGGGCTGCAATGTTGTGTTCTGATATCAAAGTTAGTATGCATGTTTTTATATGTGTGTTTAGTTTTTATATATTTGATTAATAAGAATTTATACTGAATGTAAAATAACTCACTGTATTTGGAACATACGTAATTATTTTTCCTTTCTACAGAATGATACCTTTGCTGATTTTGATTCCATGACTGATCGCCTTTTAGATGAAATAATACAATATATTCAAATTTACAACCTAACAATTTCAAAAATCAGGTAATACCTATGTTGTATATTACTTTATTTCTATAAAATATATAATACCCACTAGAAAGTACATGATTAGTTGTCCTAAACTGTCATACAATTACTTGATAATCAGGTACAAAAAAGATGGGGTTGGGGGAAAACATACCAAAATGAGGGTAAGAGAAAATTAAATGATGTGGGCTTCTAAATGAAAAACAAACAAAAGAAGTTTTAATACACAATATTAAAACTATAAATAGTGTTATGGCTTCAGGTTACGTTTAAAAATTTAACAGTCTGCAACATCTTAAAAGGAAAATTTCTTCATCAGTAACTGAAGTTCTCAGAATATAATATATTAACTTTTAGATCCACACTGTGGGAATTAGTGTGATGGGCTCTGCAATCCTGGAACCATTTAAAGTAGTCTAGCTTTAAGGTCTTATGGTAAGGATTTAGACAGCACTACAAGCTGTTGTGTCATAGGCATCATGGGCTGATTGTAATGTATTCTGGGCCTTTCTGGATTATTGCCTTCAGTAACCTGTCTGAGAACATCAAGGAGGAGATATGTCATGAGGAGGATCTCATTTCCTAGGTGGATGCCATACCATACCATCAATCCTTGTTAACTGACAATACTCATGGAGGCACCAGTTGCCAGCTCCATATTTAAAGTTGTGTTTTGGTTTGCACTTTAAGAAAGAATTCATGCTTTTTATTATGAGTTCACAATTCAGAACTATTGTTTTAGGATCTCTGCAAACTCAGATATTGCTGCACAGGTTACACTTGAAGTTTTGAAGTTTTTCCTCATAACAGTAACAGCTGGCTAATATTTTTAATGAAAGCTGAGAGAAAACAACTGAGTCTGTCCACACCCCTTGCTTTGGGAAATGCTGTTCCTCTGCCTTTTCAAAGGTCCAGTCTGCTCAGCAATAAGACTCTTGAGGAGACTGAAGGAAACCAGAGCAGCTCAGTTTTTAGAGGGGTTTCATCTTACTATTAGGCAAAGACAACTTCCTTCAAGTATCATAGGAACTATACCCAGTATCACATGGAAATACCCAGCAGGAGTGTCTTCTGAACAGCAAAAAAAAAAAAAAAAAAAGTGGCCCCATTCTGCTTGTTAACTTAAAGGGGTACAGCACAAAGAGAAAATATCTTCATTTCCAGGTTCTCCAGGACTGCTTCATCCTCTAGAAAGTAGCAGTTTTGATATCTCAGTAGAGAGCCCATTCCCAGTCCATGCACATGCTCTTCCCCTTGTCCCATTCTTCTTCTGCATCATTTCACAAACATAGCAAGTGATCTGTCTCCATCCAGTTTCTGCATCAGATATGAGTTTCATCTATATCAAACTATGTACTTTTAATTTGTTTTCACAAAGTCTCATAGCATCCTTGGGGAGATTAGAGTGCATAAACAGTGTGTCTGGAGCAACTGTTTAGAAGGACCCAAAACCTTTCAGATGCCCATTTCCCCATTCATTCTTTCTTTGAGGAAAAGTCCAAAGGGAAACTGATCTGTTCAGAGAGTCCAAATGGCTAAAACTCAGTATCCAGGCCTGTTATGAGAAGGTAAGAGTTCAACACCAGAAATACCTTTAAGTCCCTTTCCACCAAGGTAGCAGACATCTCCATAATTTATCTGTGTAATGTACCTAACTGAAGTTAGTATGGCTGTCTTTCAGTATTTAATTCACACATATAACCAACAGTATTTTTTTTACTCTAGAACTATGAGAGTACCTGAATAGATAGAACTCCATTACATGCTTGTTTCAGGAGGGCACTACTTCAGTTTGTATTTAGTTAACCATTCAGCTGTCATCCTCTAGAGTTCTACTTTTTGTTAATGTGGGTGTCTCTTAGAGACAATTGCATGAGGAAAAAAGGAAAAATATGTATTAACCCAGTAATTAGAGTTCTCTGAATATAGTGCCTCTACAAATCGACACTAAACCTTCATTCTTCCCCACTTCTCTTGGAGTTTGAGATGGTTTAGATGAAAGAAAGAGCAGCTCAAGACATTTACAGGAACAGGCCTTTTAGAATGGTAGTTACTGCCTAATTCCTATGCACCCCCTAATGACTAAACTGGTTTAGAATGACAGGTTTCAGAGGAACAGCCGTGTTAGTCTGTATTCGCAAAAAGAAAAGGAGTACTTGTGGCACCTTAGAGACTAACCAATTTATTTGAGCATGAGCTTTCGTGAGCTACAGCTCACTTCATCAGATGAAGTGAGCTGTAGCTCACGAAAGCTCATGCTCAAATAAATTGGTTAGTCTCTAAGGTGCCACAAGTACTCCTTTTCTTTCTGGTTTAGAATGGTTTTCAGGATCACAAGGGCATGGCTCACAACTCCTACAATGAGGATATGCACAAACAATTATATGAGAGAATAGCAGACTTTAATTCTTTCATAATTACTAAAAGTCCTTTCCAGCCCTACATTTCTGTGATTCTATTATTGTTCAGTTAATACATAGATGGACTGACATCAAATACCATGGGGAGCAGGGACAGTGAAGTGCCATCCACTGAGACAGCATTTTAAAAGGTTACCTTTTGGAAGGCAGTACTATGTAAATGATGCAGAGCCAGCAAGTCAAAATATATATCACACTACAAAACCCTTAACAGAAATAACACTTCTATAGGGCATTATGCCTGGCAGTGACTTATATAAGGACTCCCAGAACTCCTGTGTTCAAGTTACACAAATGTATCGTTTTTAATTTTAGTCTTTTATAATGTTGTCCTTGTGAAAAGTGCTGGATAGGCATCTCTGAAGACTGTCTCTTATTTATGTAGAGAGCTAATGCATGATGAACAGTGGCAGTACAAAGTTAGTACTGCCACACTATACTACCAGTTAGTGCACCACACTATAATACCAGTATAGCTTGTCAAACTGATGTAATCTACCAGAAGTGTGGAAGGCTAGCTTATTTTCCATGTTCATTTAATTCTTGGCTTATCTCCTGAGACTGCTTTCAAGGGTGCCAGTTGTGGTTTTTTTATTATATAGACATATGTCCTCTATGATTGGGTTGACATTTGATTTCTTTCACACACAAATTGACAAAAAATTAGCTTGGCAGCAAAATTTATTACTAATCTGGGATGGAGTTTGAATGGTGATCAATAGAATGGAAGGTTATATATCCTATTAACAGTACTCATAGGGGAACAAAAGCATATAGAATGAATACATTTTAGTAATCAACTAATGCACATGCTTTTTTCTCTAAATACAGACAAACAGAGCAAGGCAACACACAGTCAGTCTATTTTGAAAAGCTGCATATCTACAGTGGACTGCTTAGAAAGATTTGCAAAACAGAATAGTGAATTAATGGAAAAATGCAGCTCCAGTTCCATTAATATATTAAGAATAATGCATGACTGAGGCAGTAAGTTTGGCAAAGGACTCAGGGAAGGCCTGGATTCCATAATGTCCCTTTTTTCCCCCTTTGAATTCTGTAACTTAATGTTTTTCGGAGACTCTGCTGAGGTTGAAGAATTTCGGCTGGTTTCCCAGAGGCCAGTGCTTATTAAGTCCTGTCTAGACTGGAAAAATAGGTTGTGTTTTTAAAATGTTAGCAAACACGTTATAATTAAAATGTTTAAACACTGGTTTTGACAGGGTTTAACATCTTTAAGGTGTTTTGTTTTCTGTATACATCAATGTTTAAAATACATTAGTAAAATTTTTAAATATGACCCATTTTTGTAGTAGACGGAGCCCTAGAAATATCCACACTTGGGAATTCCTTCCTGTGGGGTACCCTCAAGCCCTTTCACCCCCATCTCAGGAAGAGCTGAGAGAAAAAAAACAAAGGAAATCAGCTGTTGCCACCAGCTAGTTAAACAACATATGCACAAACTTCTTAGGGACACAAAAATCCAATCCTGTTCTTAAAAAAGGTAAATTTTACTAACCTCCCCCTCCCCCTGCACACACACACACACACACACACACACACAATACATTTTGAAACTTAGGCTTTTTGCTAAATCTTTAAAAAAACAATTACAAAAATTAAGCATCAAGATAGCTCTCTTGAGGTTCAGCTTAAAGGTTACAAACAAAACAAAAGCACCTGGGGTTAGCACAAAGGAGTCCACAAGCCCGTAAGAAATAAAAGAAATAACCCTTATCATGTCTTTCTAGACATTCCCTGATTTACTTACATAGCTGGGGTTTCAGATAAGTAGGTTTGAGATCTGAATTAATGCTTCTTTATACCTTGTTTTAAAGCTGCTTGCAAATTGCTACTCTGTGTCTCCACTCTCCAGAGAACAAAAGACAAAAGAGGGTAGTCTTGTTTCAATTTTAAAAAGTTCTAGCCTTGCCATTGGCTTTTTTGGTCAGGTGCCTACTCCCTTCTTTTTACCTATGGGCTTTTTTTTTTTTTTTATCCTTTACAGGTAAAGCAAGTAGAGAACAGGGATTTTATAGCTAACTGGCTGGCTGGGTGTCCATAAAAGGGAGCTTCCCCTGCCCCTTCATTTATCACATAGCCTAATTCGAATTCCTGGAAAGATACTGGAACAAATTATGAAACAATCCATTTGTAAGCACGTGTAGGATAATAGGGTTATAAGGAATAGCCAGAATGGATTTTTCAAGAACAAATCATGCCAAACCAACCTAATTTCCTTCTTTGGCAATTATAATAGGCTTGTGGGTGTGGGGGAAGCAGTCAATGTGGTATGTCTTGTTTTTAGTAGAGCTTTTGACACAGTCCCCCATGACATTCTCATGAGCAAATTAGGGAAATGTGGTCAAAATGAAATTACTGTAAGGTGGATGCACATCTCTTTGAAAGACCATACCAAAGAGTAGTTACTAGTGGCTTGCTGTCAAACTGGGAGGATGTATCTAGTGGGGTTCTGCAGGGATCAGTCCTCTGTCTGGTACTAGTCAGTATTATTATTAATCACTTGGATAATGGAGTGGAGAGTATGCTTCTAAAATTTGCAGATAACGCTAAGCTTGGAGGGGTTGCAAGAACTTT